ATTTTCGTTTCCTTCCTCTTCTTCTCCGTCTTCATCCTCCTCTATCTCTCCTATTCCTCCCCATTCGTCTACTCCTTCATTTTCTTCTCTTCTTTCTGCTTCTTCCTCTCCATCCAACTCGACCTGACGTTTTCTGTTTTTCAATGCCTGTCTAGTTTTCCTTAGGCCTTTCGGACGTTCCTTTCGTTTTTGAATCCCCAAGCTTCTGATGGATGCGGTCCTGTTTGAAGCTGATCGTCCTCCTTGTAGTCTGCTTTGAATTCTCTTTGGAGTAGCAAGTCGTTGACCGGGTTGAATTCCTTTCGCTGCTGCCTCCGCTCTAGTTAAAACTCGGTTGTTTAAGTTTCCTTCAGTTTGATCTAATTGCATTTGAAAAGACATTGCGCTTGATGTAACCAACACTTTTTCTTGTTGATTTTGTTTTATTTCGAGCTTCTTTGACTTCTCTTGATTTTCTTCTACTTGAATTGAATTAAATTGAATTAGATATTTGAAAAGTGAGATATTGTGAGATATATCACGAAACTTAAGACGACTAGAACTGTGAGTAGAGCTGTTGCTTATAGCTCTGCAGACGATGCGAAGTTAGATCAGGAGAAGTTAAAACTTAGTTTATTTCCTTCTCTCTGACTTCGCACCAGTCGTGTGACATGTGGTTTTACATGTCACCTCACCAGTTCACAGTTCGTGGACATCAGCACCAAACTGTTCCTTATTTGGTGCTCTGTAAGCAATCAAGCAAGAGCGCGTTGGAACCAACAATAATAAGGCCGACAGACTTTCGCATGGATTCACAACAGGCTTCCAATGGCACAACAAGGTATTAGTGGAAATGCCCATTGACCTACAAACTTACCTGCAGTGAGAGTAGGGAGAAGTTGGGAGAGAGAAGCGGGAAGTGGAGGAGAAGACAAATTTAAAAAGATCAGGAATTTTATCAAAGACGAGAACGGGGTGGAAACGTTACATGAGAACAGGGTACAGAGAATGATGGTTGTGGGTGGAAGTTGGTCAAAGGAGACGTTGGTCCAATACAACTCGGCGATCACCAAGATAATGACTTACGCTAAGAGTTGCAGACTAGAGCAACATCAGATCCTACCGCTGAGTGCAACAGACGTCTAAGGCTTCATTCAGTGGGCTTCACCAAAACTGGAAGGCAAGGAGAGAACAAACCAGGAGATTAAACCGTCAACAATCAAATCTTACTTGGCAGGGCTTCGAGCATGGCATCTATTCCATCACAAACCCTTCCCAGACATGAACCAAAAGATAATCAACTTATTACTGGAAGCCACGAGCTTAATTGACGCAAAGTCATCGCCGAAATAACAAAAGAAGGCAGTCGAGATTAAGCACCTAGCAAGTATGTTGAAAGGGATGAAGAGGGGAGATGAAGCGATGGAGTTATGTGTAACAGTGGCATTGGTGTCTTTCTGGGGAATGGCTCGGCTGGGAGGATTGATACCTCTGAACCTTGAGAAAACAATTAGGTTGAAGGACTTGATGATATCAAAGGATAAGCAAGAGTTAACAATTAGTTTAAGAGGGGCAAAGACGGCTAAACCGGGGGAAATTCAGTACTTACACTTGAGACGATGTAAATCACTACTAGATATGGTAGGAGCGGTAGAGAGGTTATTAAGGAAGCACTTAGAGAGAGGCGCCGATGAAGAGACTTACCTCTTCAGGTACTACGATAAACATGAAGTAGCGACGGCGGTTAGCAAAGGCTGCTTGATGGGCTATTTAAGGAAAGCGTGGGAGGCGGATCGCTTAAAGGGGATAACTGGTCACTCATTTAGAGTGGGTGGAGCTTCCTTGCTCTGGAATCAAGGGGTCCCGTTGGAAAATATTGTTGAGAAGGGAAGGTGGAAATTGTGTGCATACAGAAGATATTTGAGGAAATTTAGGGCGGAAGAGAACAAAGACGCGAAGCGGTGGCTTTTGAGAATGGAGTTAAAGTGAGGGAGGAGAGGGAACAGCAATGCATGGCAAACCTTATTTGCGGTATGAACCATGTGGCTGAACGCAGGTGACTCTATTGCAGATCCCTGTACAAGTGTTGAGGTAGCAAGCTTGAGAGACCTCCCTTGCTACGAGAAAGACTGCCAAGGGCAAGGTTGGGCATGCAAATGGCCAAGTGTGAGACTTGACAAGCCTAAGATAGAGGGGAATGCAGGCCTTGGGGCACAGGAGAGGTTGGGGTCCGAGCGAGCTTGGGAGCTCTCCAGCACTCCCAAGGTTGGGTAGGCTAGGACCGGACTCTCTGGTGTTCACAGGTCTGTCGGGCTTCTGGGTAGGCTGACCCCGGGGACTAACCGTCCAGGCTGACCCTGAGACGGCCCCCCTGGTCGAGGCCTCCCCACCGAAGAAGCCCCCCCCACCCTAGCATGTACCTAGCTTAACTGTAGGATGTGTTAGCAGGATCTGTGTTTGAAGAAAGAGAAATACAAATATAGTTAATAGACGGGCTAATTTAACCCAAATGCAATAGAGATGGATGGGGACTTCATGCCAAAGGAATCAGCTCAGCCCACCCGCCCTCCATTGGGTTTGGGATGGGCTGCCCGATGTCCCATTCACCAAGACCGGTTCGTGGAGTAACATACCGTCCTTGGCCTAGAGGGCAACCCCTACTTACGGTACATTGCAGACATACTCGCAGAAGGCAGAGAGGGGACGTCTGTCTTTACGTAGACAATGAGAGGAGGGGAGGGGGATTGTAAGAGGTGTTAAACAAGATTGTGGTATATTAAATTCTGATTGCCGCTAAAAACATCTTCGTCGCCAACAATTCGCTCTCATTGAAAGGCTTTACGTATCTCTTGTGCGAATCAGATTTCCACCTCCCCGCTTTCTTGAGTTTCCTCACACTAATCCCAAGATTTGCCCATAACAAAGCTCCTCCCACGCGAAAGGAATGGCCTGACCACGTCTTCACACTCGCTGCTCCCCAGGCTTCCTCAACCAGTTTGATGAATGTTTTCTTTGTCAATAGTCTGCTGTCTATTTTAAACTTGATGTAATATAATATAATTTGCTTGTTGATAATGATTAAAAGAGAAATTGATTTAATTATAAGTTGATTTTAATTTGTCAAGCCCGGGCAGAGTCACCAATATGTAGAACTTATAACCCAACAAGGGTTATACAGAGCTGGAAGAGGATAATCTACTAATAAAATGACTAGTAGAAGTTGTCTAAGGACTGCTCTTCTAAAACAACACAATCAGAAAGAGCTCTGTTGTATTGAGTACTGATAAGGCACCAGAGAAATATAACTTCACACGTAATTTTAACTTCAAAAGCACACTTTGTATTACTATCAACACTGCTATAGTGTTATTCCCAATTGATAACTGAAAAAAAATAAGCAATATCTGATTGATATTATTCCCAATAAGTCTTTATGACTATAAAACTAAAGTAAATTTCTCTTTATAACTGTAATAAAGGGCGTATTTAAGTGAACAGGTACTATTAAAATAAGTTTATGATGATAAACAAAATAATAATGGCGTAAATGATAAAGAAAAAAAGGGGAACAACAGTCCCAAAACCCTCTCAAAGTATATATAACAATGTACTAGAACTTTTACAATGGTCAACAGCCTCAAAACCAATCAAATCCGCCCAAAATTCCCTAAAAACCCTATGATGACGCAATGTAATGGTTTTGTTACTAATAAATGATGTAATTTTCACAGCTAAAAGTGATCAATGACGCAATAATATGATGTACAGCACTTCTTATGATGAATACAGGTGATTTTTTCCTTGTAAACTAGCTGAAAACCAATTTTTGAGATTACGAATTTTTTCAGATGTGCTCCAATTTTTGATTACTAAAGTGCATCTTGTAGCCCACGTGTTACTGATCATTTCTGACACCTACATGACCTACTTCTGATGAGTGATGAGTAAGATATTGAGTTGTGAAGTTAAGGTTTTTAGTGTTACATATGACTTGTGACTGTAAATTTGAGATTCACACCAATTCTTTATTTGCCTTATAACTTTTTACACACACCTCCGTTACTAATGATTTAAAGTTTGTACATTATGTAATCCACTCTTCTGCGTTGAATGAGCCATCTACCAACCTATTCTGACGTCATTTGACATATGTAATTAGCTGAAAACCTCCATTTTCCACGAATTTCACCCATTTTCTTCACTTTTCACAGCTACTACTATCTTTTTCTTGCTCATGTAATATGACATCATCATCTATAGCCTTAAAAATCCCGGAAAATCCTCTTGGCAACCTTAAATTCCATCACTACCACTATTACACAACCAAACTACACGTGTACCTCTTGTTTACCAACTTCGAAAAAGTGCTTTTTTCCTAATAACTTCTGTTGCTACTTATCAACCTTGAAGATTAAAATTGTCATAGTATCATATAATGTTGTTCTTTCATATTCTAACCTCATAATACCCATAACTTTATTTTTACTAACCTAAAAACCATTTTCCAACCTTTATACCTATAATTTCGAATTTTTCTTATGTTTTTCTTTCTTTCTTTTTGTAATAAATTTGTAAGTAAACTATAATGATCTTAATATATAATGTGAAATAAAATGATGTAATGTTGACCTAATGACCAATACATAAGCCTACAAGAGCTTCAATTGATCAAAAACCTCCATTTCAAATTTTCTTTCCTGCTGAATCCTGCTAATAAACTGGTAAACTGGTAATTGTGAATTTTTTAATTGATCCCATAAATTGATCACCACACCGTCCTGTCAGCTCAAATCTCAGAGACGAATTCAATTGCTAGCTCGATCAAGCCTTTTGGTACGCCCACCCCACTCACTCCGACTCGCTCCGAAGCTGTCGCATTGCGAGCCACCAGCGTCGAACCTCAAACGAGTCCTTCTCGTGCATCATCTTCTCTCTTACCCCGGTTTGAAACCGGCTCTCAGCGTTCTCGTACGCCTGATACTGATGGTGATAGTATTGGCAATCGACGTGGTCTCAAGCAAATGACACCAGTCTCACCTAGTCCCCTGAAGTTCAACAAAACCAAATCTCCTACCAATAATCTGAAGGAGGCAGCGACCCCCTCCATTAGCCGATTGATCAGTTCTCCACTTCGTTTGACAAACGAAGAACGTCCTTCTACTAGTTCCTCTCTACAACAGCAACCACTACCCACCTCATCTCAATCAGCAAAAAATCCCGCGAGACCAATAAGTTTGGCAGGTGCCGGTCCACCTCGTCATAAAGAAGAGGTATTAACACGGCGAGGAAAATCGTCAAATCCAACAAATGTAGAAATAGATTTTAGTATAAGACCTGCGGTAAATGAGGAAGACGAAGAAGCTGAACCACCCAAAGGAACGGTGGAAGCACAACACGATATACTAGCCAATGTTGAAGAAATGTTGGAAGGATTTGAGTGGAGGATGATTGGAACGGCGGTCGAGGGAGTTGATCTGATTGAAGAAAGGCTATTGAACGAACTCAAAGCATTGGACTTAGCTGAAATTCATGCGATAATTGAAAATGATGACCGGGTAGATTTGATCGGAAAAAGTCTCGATGACGGTCTAGCTCAGTTAGATAAGATGGAAGCTATGCTAAGCTTGTATCGAACTCAACTCAATGTGAGTATCTTGAGATATTTCACCTTCAATCATCTTTTGAGAAAATTGAATACTTATATATGTTCTACTCAGCTTGTGAGCGATGAGGTCACGCACATCGAGGGACAGAACAGAGGTCTACAGGTCCAGATATCAAACCAAAGATTGTTGCTGGAGGAAATCAAAGAACTCATGGTACGCAGCTTGACAAATTTTCAATTGATCGTTGTCTATTATGCTAAAACCCGTCACCAACACTTTGATTGTGTAGCAAACCGTCCACATTCCACCTGATGTACTGGATTCATTAGTCCGAGAGCCACTTGATAAGCCAGAAGGAGTACATAACTTGGAGAAATCAATCACCATCCTCTACAAGGCTATCCTCTCGGTCCACAATATGGGTAATGCAGCAGCAGCAGTAGCTGCTGCTGACGATCCAGTCGATGAATACAAGCGAGATGCGAAGCAGTTCTGTAAACGGGTATACGAGTTTCTGGCCGTAATGTTCAAGTACGAGGTTCGTAGGATTCATCCAAGTTGTTGGTATCAATCTTTTGTCGTTGACAAACGATCGTACTTTTTGGGATCATGATAGTCTGAGAAGTTTTTGAAAGACCCGATCAACGAAACAATTATAGCAAGCTTAAGCTTACCGTCGCACGAGCCTTTAGAGAAGTACCTGGGCACGTATTGTGGATTGACTTTATTTATGAAAGAACTAGATGAAGCCAGATATCAGCAATTGTGTGCAGTTGAGTACCTCTTTGCAAAATAAATGACCTGGAGTGAAGCCTCATCCATCCTAACCTGCTTGCGTATATATCCAGGCTTACTTTGCCACCTTTAGTGACATGCATAAGAAAGAGATCAGTGCATTATTTGAGGTTTGTCGGACGCAGATTCGTAAGCCGACTGAAGAGGAACTTGAAGCTAGTAAGTCTCTATACTAATTGATCAAGAATGATGATGTACACTGAGTCGACGTTGTGATTTCTTCAGCTTTTGCTGCATCAGTCATCCAGTCACCGACCAATGCCAAGATCTCAGCAACACGCAAACCATTAGCAAGATTTGATCGAAAAGATAAGAAAGGTTCAGGTGGAACCGGCCAAGGAGAGATGACAGCTGGGACAGGTTTAGAGATCATATCTGTATCAGTCTTGAAGAACTTGGAACGCGAACAGAACTTTGTTCGAGATCTTTTGAATATTCAATCGGCTGATGATGAATTAGATAACATGATCACATTTGCAGATTATGCTGACCTGGAAGGTTATTTTAGGAAAGCTGCATTGGCTGGTAATGCTCTGAAAGGGAATAAATTTAAGGATATCTTAAGTGTCATGGATTTGATTTTTGGATTTTTGCCTGGTGTGATTAAGGATTGGATCGATTCTTTTGTCGCTAGAGATCCATTGTGAGTGTCCTCATTCTTCTGCCTTACTATGAAAGGGTCGGCGCTGATCGCTTACGCATTTCCCTCGGGATTTGGTTGTGGTGTATAACAGGCAGATGGTGAGTGTCTTGGCCGCGCTCGACACGACGATCAAAGCTGCTCAACAAACCAGAAACGAATATTGGTTGAAGACTCTCGAAGTTCAACAACGAAAATCGTTGAGTCTCTTTGAAAAATACGTCAAAGAGCAATTGAAGGCAATTGAAACTACCAAACTGACGGTGAAGAAGCGAAAAGGGGTGGTTGGGTTCATTGCTACATTTCCGGATTTTGTGATTCGAGTGGAACGTCAAATGGAAGTGGTAGATGATCAAGGAAATCCGACCCGTAAGTTGGTGGACAAAGTCTATGGTCAGATCGTACAATCTATGTTCGAAGCATTGCAGATGATGGCGAAAAATGACAAGGATCAAGCACCAGCTACGGGAGGTGGAGGTGGCAATCAAGAAGACAGAGACAAAGATAGATTGAACTATCATACATTGATCATCGGTGAGTTTCTTCATTTTCAGACTCTCAGTTCCGAGAATTGTGTGATCGCTGACATCGATCGATCAACGTATCACGCAAATCTTTAGAAAACATGCACCACTTTGTCACGACGGCCTCTAAAGTTAATGTGTCGGCATTAGGGCTCTGGTTGGAAAAAGCCAAGGAACAGTACGATCAAAATTTGAATTTGTACATCCGTTTGGTACTTCGACGGCCTTTGGCTCGATTGATTGTGAGTTGTCCGATGTAAGATGCGAAGGGCGACAGATTAGAAGATACTAAACAAATCAATTCGTCTCATTTCACAGGACTTCTTCGAAGGCATTCAACAATTATTAAGAACTACGTCTCCTAGTGAGATTTCAATGCATAGTCAATACACGAAATCGGCCTTAAAACGAGCAATTTCATCCTTTGATAAAAAAGATTTGAAGAAATCCATTGAAGCACTGGCCAAAAGAGTAGAAAAACATTTTAATGATTTAGCCAATCCATCAGCTGTGATGAATACAGTTTGGAGTGCATGTGAAGCTGAATTAAGGAAATGGATTGAAGAATGGAATGGAGTGATTTTGAAATGTTATGGTATTGAAACTCATGGTTTAGACATTGGAGTTGAAGATGTTAAAGCTTCATTTTTAAAATATAAACCTGAACATTCTTCTGTAAGTAAATAAATTTGACATTTGAGATTAGTTTTTGTATGTGTTGTATTTTATTTGAATGTACATGATGATCTTTATTGGACACCTTTGTATGAGCATGATAAGATTTCTTCTCTATGTACAATATCTTCATGATTTGTAATGATTTTGCTTTGAGTTCTATTGTGGTTTGGTGGCTTTGTGTTATCAGATATATATTTATATTTGAGGAGTTCTGACAGTATCAACTTATGATCAGACACTTAAAATCCTAGTATAAAACTCATGATGAGATTAGATGATAAAATGTGCTGAGATGGTTGAACTATGTACCGAGTTGCAAGTTTGCTTCTAGCTTACAAAGCCAAGGAGACGATCTTTGAGATTCAGAGCTCATGATAATTCAGGCAAGACATATATATATTGCTGGAATGCTTTGCAGTTGAAACCAAAAATGTTTGCTCTTCTTAATTCTCTTTGTCACTTGATCACTTACTTTTGGACACAATATTTTCTGAACCACTCTAGTACAAAACACAATTCTGAAGACCATAATGTGGCGAAAGAGTTCAAGGAATTGCCAATTCACTCTGAAAAGCTCTAGAGAGAGCCTGGCCTGTTGCTGAATGGATATTTGGTACCCACACAAGGCACAAGGGAGGTTTCCTCTTCCTATTCCTGCACAAGTCTAGCAGCCCATGGAACTAGACAGTCTCAACCTTTCCATGACCTGTGAGTTCATATTCATGTATACCACTGGCATAGATAGTCTGTGCAATTAATCTCCAATCTAATTCAGCTCCTGAGCATTAGTCCAAAGTCTCAAGGGCGCTCGCGAACCCGGGCCAAGTCAAGACGGTTAATTCCATTGTTTGAATACACTGATTTGTTCAATGTCCTTAGCACTCTTTTGCTCAAACTTTACTCATGTCGCTTTTCAGCAATTGGTGTTTCTCAGGATTTTGCTCATCTCCGTGTGGGGACATTTTCGCGTGGTACTAAGCGAGAGTGAGCTTGATCGAGTGCTCTACGCGAGAACTGCGTTAATCCACGAACAGCCCAATTTGTGAATTCAAACTGGGGTATCCGTGAATACCTGTGCAAAACACAGGTGACAAATTGAAAACATGCGGCTAGATGTACAAACGGTGTGCTACTGTAACGGGCACAATATTATGTGCTTACGTTATGTCTATTCCGGATGGGGAATGTGGCTTAAATCTAGGTATGGTTTAAGAGAACGAGCTTGGATCTTAATGGATGGGTCGATGACAAGCTTATATGGAATATAAGGGAAGTATCGAGAAGGAAAGATATTAAGATCTGAATTGCTATCTTGTAATAAGATGATAAACTATCCTAATAAGGATTGAGAAAGGAAATGATAATTAGATGGATGAGGAATACAAAGAGAAGGACTCTAGGTGTTCCTTATAAGAGAACTACAAGATGGCGGTAAGGGCAAAGGGCCGGTTACAGATTAGCCGGTATTACAATGTATTATAAGCCATTTACAAGTAGGCTGACAGATGGCGGATACAGGTGGTAATACAAGATGTGAAACATGTGTTAGGTTCGAATACAGACTAGTGTTAAGTAGCCCTGCTACACCACCCCCTCTTTAAAAATTCGCAGCATTCCTAGGCTGCAGAGTCTAGTGCATACTTTCCAATGATTTTTATGCGAGGAGTAATCTTGATTTGAGTGTTCGCAAGTTGTTTAGCCTTCAATTTTAACGTCCGTGAAACTTTGAGGTCTTCGTTCTTAATGTCCTGGAGCAATCGAGGCGGGAGGGCCCAAACTTCGCCCAAAGATTTATCTCTAATCTTCGCAGGCTTCAGTCTGTTTCCACCAATTGGGTGAGGAAATTTGGATCATGCGTGATCGGTCAATACATATACGTTCTTGCCCAAAGAGTCGTAAATCGTGAAAGGACCGAACCAATATGGCTCGCCTTTGGTATGAGATTCATTTCTCAATTTCACCGCTTCTCCAATCTGGTAAAGTTTGATCGAAGACGCGGATTTCCCGGTTTCATCTGGGACAAATTGAGCATCGAAACGAGTTTTATTCTCAACAGCTCGTTTCTTGGAAGCCTCTGTAGCTTTCTGTCTATTATCACGAAGTTTCTCTAATCGTGCTTTGTGATTTATGTCAGACGTGGGAATATCCACAGGCCTGAACTTGGCTCGATCTCCAATGAGACGAGGACTGACTCCGTAAAGGAGCTCGAAGGGTGACCACTTAGTCACGGTACTTTTATTTACTCGACAAGCAAACAAAGCTTCGGCCAGATACTCAGGCCATCTCGAGGGATCCTTCGAACGATTTGCTTTAAAAAGGGCTTTTTCCAAAACACCATTGAAGCGTTTGTTCTTTCCGTTAGTACGCGGATGGTAACCCGAGGTATTCAACTTTCTAATGTGCGCGCCCTGATAAAAAGCCTGCATTTCTTTTGAAAGAAAGTTAGCACCCCTATCAGAAAGGAGCTCACTTGGCACGCCGTAGACTTGAATCAAGTCACGCGTCAAAGCTTCAGCAACGTTCGCAGACGTTGCCTGTTTCATCGGAATAGCGATGGGCCAGTTGGTACAATGATCTATCATTGTCAGTACCCACTTGTACCCGTCTTTACTTTCCGGCAGAGATATGAAATCAACTGCCCATCTTTCGAAGGGCTCGACAGAGGGCAAAGGTTCTTGCTTTGCCGTCTCTTGACTTTTGTCCAGAATGTCAAAAATTTGACATTCTGGACAATAGGAGCAGTACTCCTTAACGTCGGAGTATCTACCAGGCCACCAACCACGATCTTTCAACAGGCTCAAGGTTCCATCTCGTCCCCTATGGCCATATTTACGATGAAAGCGGTCGATGAGCCCTATTCTTTGTGAGAAAGGGACAAAAGGACTCTCTTCTGGATTGTCCTTAGTACCTTTCCACGACAGAATTTCATCTTTCGGGTCCCATCTGAAGTTCAAAGAACCCCTGACTACCTGATCTACGAGTGCAGGTGTAACCCACTTTGGCAACTCCTTTTGTGTCAAAATATATGGCACCAAAAGCGGCCAATCAGAAGGGTCTCGCAGGCCAGTGATGTCATCAAAAATGCTATTAAGATGATCGCTGCGCCGGCTCAGTGCATCTGGAACAATGTTAGTGATCCCAGTTTTGTATTCGACTTTGATTGTCATCTCGGCGAATTCTTCTATCCAACGACAAAGTCGTCTGGATGGTTGAACTTGAGTCTGAAGACCCGTCAAACTGAGGTGGTCTGATCGTACTAAAGTGTCCAATACCGCACCCTCGACGTAGTTACGCCACTTCCGCCAAGCATGAATCATTGCCAAGAGCTCTTTCTCTTGCGCAGGATAATTCTGCTGAGCGGAGTTGAGCTTCGTAGACTCATACGCGATGGGATGCTCTTTCCCGTCGGGACCCACTTGCAACAACACTGCTCCAACTGCAAAATCACTCGAGTCGGTCTCGATGATATACGGCTTGGAAGGATCCGGTACTATCAATACCGGTGCGGTAAGCATGCTTTCCTTCAGTTTAACAAAGGCAGCTTCGTGTTTAGGGTGCCACTCGATTTTCGCCTTCTTCGTGACGTTTCCCGAAGTCAACTCATGCAGAGGCGAAGCTATTTTCGAAAAGTCTTTTATGAATCTTCGATAATAGCCGGACAAACCTAAAAAGGATCTAACGTCGTGGACGTTGGAAGGTCGAGGCCATTCCTGGATGGCTTTAATTTTATCTTCCATGGGACGTATCCCATCTGCTGATATCATGTGGCCCACAAATTGTATTTCTTCGGCGAACATGATTGATTTAGACCCGCTGATCTTCAACTCAGCGTCTTCTAAAGCCTGTAAAACCTGTTGAACATGTTTCTCGTGTTCTTCAGGATTGTTGGAGTAAACCAAAATATCGTCCATATAAACTTGGACAAACTTATCAAGGAATGGTCGTAATATATCCGACATCATTCTCTGAAAGGTCGACGGCGCGTTAACCAGCCCAAACGGCATAACCAACCACTCATAGTGGCCATACCGAGTGCTGAAAGCGGTCTTAGGAACATGCGGCAGGGATACTTTCATCTGATGAAATCCCTGTTGCAAATCAAATTTGGAAAATACCCTAGCTCCGTATAACTGATCGAAACAATCTTGGATCAGAGGGAGAGGGTGACGGTCACGCTTGGTGAGAGCATTTACTGCCCTGTAATCCACGCAAAAGCGAAGCTTTCCTGACGCGTTTCGAGCGAACAGGATCGGGGATGACCAAGGTGATGTTGAGGGGCGTATAAATCCATTACACTGGAGTACGTCTAATTTGTTCCGAACCTCATCGAGGAGCAGAGGGGACAATTGACGCACAGGCTGAGAAACCGGAGCCGCATCACCAGTATCGATTAGATGCTGGACAACCCTTTCCTGTTTCGGAGCTTCTGATACCTCATCAAAGAGAGGTTTGTAGCGGTCGAGGAGTTCCTCTACACGCTGCTTTATGCGGGGGTCAGAGGCCTCAACCTTCGGTAAACAAGGAACTGGAGATTCCCGCGGACCCTCGACTTCTTCTACTTGGCTAAGCACATTGCTTATTTGAAGCAAATATACCTCTGTGCCGGGGCGTCGCATTGCTCAACGCATTTGGCTCCTAGTGATAGGAAAATCTTCTACTGGTACATCGCTCAGACCACTTATAGTGTGCTGTCTGAGGGACGGGAATGGATTTGAAGGAAAAAATTTCGCGCGTCTGGCGTCTTTATCCCTCAAAACCCATTCTCCTTTTTCCCAGTTGGTGGACACTGCGTAAGCATTAATCCAGTCGAGGCCCAAAATCATGTTGTGGTTAGTTAAAGGCGCTACTCGACATTCATGTGCAAAATTTAATCCTGAAAGGGAAAATTTCACATCGGCTAGATCCTTACATTCGTAAGGCTGACCCCATACACCCCTTACTATGGGTCGGTCCGAGTTTTTACTCGTGGGGAAGTTTCTTTTACGTGAATATTTATCAGGCACATAACTACTAGAAGCTCCTGTATCTATGAGCATCTTTGTTATGACTCCGTTCAATGTGAGAACAAAGTCCGCACGGGTCTCATTCGTGTCATTTTCTAACACAGCTAGGCTATCGACTGAATCAAGGTTGATATACCCCGTTTGGGGGACTTTGGGCTCGCTGGCCGGCGAGGATGCATTGTCATCCACAAGCGTTTGACTGTGGTTCTCTGTAACCGCAGAGATGGAAACATTCTCACGTGTTTCCCTACCCAACACAATGGATCGAGACTTTTGTATTGAGGAAGAGCAATCTCCTTCTGTAAAAGAGATCTGCTCGCTATCCTTTCTATCTACGAAAGGATTTGTTGTCAAATCATCTTTTGACGGAGCAACAGACTTGAAATTGTCACTCATGGGGGAACAGTCTTGTATTATACAACGTTCCATCCCTTCTTCATCTTCAGAAGGGCTATCAGCCTTACTCGCTGATAGTCGGACAGACTCACTGTCGGGTCCAGAGGGCTCACCCCTCATAGACAAAAAGTTTGGCTCTTCTAGTGTAGCAAGGTCAACGGTGGATGCATTACATAAATCCCTATTGATCACCACACAAGAAAACAGATCAGGCGAACAAGACAGAGCCTCGTCTAGTTCGCCGGGGCTTTTGACGACCCACTACCACTCGCAACCGGTTCCCTCGGCTCCACCTTAGGCTTCTTCGATATCTTCTTGAAGTAGGCACGAGTCTTGTTGGTAATAGGCGCACCACACGTAGGTCGCTCAATCAAACCAAAACGGTGTCCGCGCCGGTTACAATTGTAACAAATGACGTTGGAGTTATCAACTCTACCTCCACTACTTTCCATTCTTGAACGTTGACGCTTACGATTTCCGTTTTGATGGTGAGAGGTGGACACTATAGCATTAGTCGTGTCTCGACGGCTGGTGTTGGTATAGTGCTTGATATCGGGACGCTGATCGCGTTCGATGGCGACGGCAACTACGTCCTGAATCTGAGGAGTAATGCTGTCCAATTTCTTCATACCAATATAGTTGTCGACATGGTCTTTTACTGGGCCTGGAACAAGGCGTTTCTTGAAAGTGAGGACTGGGTCGTATGGTAACTCCAAGATATCGGCCTTCTGGGTCACAAGTTGGTGACGAGTCCAGTAAGCGATGACAGTTTCACCCCCCTGCTGCTTCAAGGCATCCAGTTCTTGATCTACCGTATCAAGGTCGACCGTCGCTGGGAACACGTTCATAAAGAATGCCGTCAAGGCGTCGTAAGAGATGGGTCTTTTGTCGTCTCTCACGGCTTTCACGAGGATCTCCTTCGCGGCTCCGGCAACCCACTGAAAGGCTACTTGATGCTCGACGTCAGGGTGACAAAATCGCATCTTTAATTCAGTTCAAAAGTTGTCAAAGTATGTCGCTACATCTTGATTTACACCAGAGAACTTAGGGATCTTGTCTCTGTAAAGGCCTTTGATGATAAGACTCGGGTCTTCAACTAGCTTCTCGGTTGGTCGGATTCCAAGAGGTTCGACAGCTACCATCTTGGCTACCGAGGACCGGTCTTGAACTCCAACGAGATTAGGTTGTACCGAAGTCGTTCTAGCACGAGCTTCAAGAACCGGAGTGCCATCTCGAGAACCTCGAAGGTGAAGATTGCTGATCTTTGCTTCGAGAGTATCCGGGTTAGCCTTCATGGCTTGGAATTCCTGGAACGCAGCTACCTCATAAGGCTTGAGGTTTAGTCCCTCCAACGGATCAAACGCCGGCTTAACATCAAGAGATTCTAAAAACGACGGAGATGGCTTCAGCTTCGTGATGTCTAAGTCGTCGTTGCTAGTCGACGAGGATTTGACTGAATGTACTATGTTGGAGACGCGCTTACGAGGCTGCCTAGTTCCAACATTATCTGGAAGCTTCCCCTTAACGTTGTTCTTATTGGGAAAATCCGATTCATCGTAATCGAGGATGTCTTCGTTATGACCCTTCACCAGGTAGTTATGAACGGCCGTGGGGATCAAGCAAGGGATATCGTTGTAGTCGCTAGCAAGGACATTAACGATGAGGGGCTGATCAACCGTCAGGGATTCCATTTGCTCCGCGGTGAGTTGCTGAGAACTCGAGGCCGAGGCTGGCAGATAGCTGACGAGAATATCCCGCTCGCGTTCCGTAAGGCGACAAGCGCTACCAGGATCAGTTGATCCTGGTGCTGCTACTGGATTAAAGGATCCAGTGGCCGCAGGGTTCGTGGTCCCGGAAGGGGGATTAGTCGAACCGGGTGCATCTGTTCCTTCCTTTCTCGGAGGGCTTCGTCCGACAGGCATTATAACTATTAAGGCTGTTTAATTCGAACGAAACTTGTAAGCTCGTATTCTTATTCTATACCAAAACTTAAGACTTTATGTTCTTCTTAAAGCGAAACAAAAACGCCTGACAATTACTGACTTAATTCGCTGAGAGTGATCTATCCCGCGCCGCTGATCCCGAAAGATTACTCTGCTTTGGACTAGTCGACTAACGACGACTACCAAAAAAGAAATAAATGAAAAGGGTCGAGAAAGACGATTTCAAACGAAATAATTGAAATATAAATGTCAGAATGCAGTCGTAAAAAGAAAAGATCTCGCTACCAATGTAACGGGCACAATATTATGTGCTTACGTTATGTCTATTCCGGATGGGGAATGTGGCTTAAATCTAGGTATGGTTTAAGAGAACGAGCTTGGATCTTAATGGATGGGTCGATGACGAGCTTATATGGAATATAAGGGAAGTATCGAGAAGGAAAGATATTAAGATCTGAATTGCTATCTTGTAATAAGATGATAAACTATCCTAATAAGGATTGAGAAAGGAAATGATAATTAGATGGATGAGGAATACAAAGAGAAGGACTCTAGGTGTTCCTTATAAGAGAACTACAAGATGGCGGTAAGGGCAAAGGGCCGGTTACAGATTAGCCGGTATTACAATGTATTATAAGCCATTTACAAGTAGGCTGACAGATGGCGGATACAGGTGGTAATACAAGATGTGAAACATGTGTTAGGTTCGAATACAGACTAGTGTTAAGTAGCCCTGCTACACTACGTTTCTTCTTCTTCTTCTTATCATTTGGAATCTGTATGCTGGGGGGTTTGAACGCAATGCGAGATGTCGACCAACAGGACAATGGTTTCGATTAGATCGTAGATTTAGAAAGGTTAAGAATTCTACCCAACCCCCGTAGAGAAAGAAGGAGTGGTGGCCGTTGCTCTTCAAAAAAGGTCAATCATGAGAAGTGGGTTGCAACAAGGCAGGTCACACCGGTGCCTGGCCGGGTCAATTTTGAAATTGGAATCTGCAGTGGATGACGGAGGTCACGTGATGATGAGATGTTACATAACAAAATTTTTGAGGATTCCCTTGTTCCTTGTTGCATCCCCCTTGTTGACCCATTTAAAAGCTGACCTCACTGAAAGTTTTGACAATCGCTTTACCCACCATCCACGACGAACCATTTTAAAACAATTGATCATCCAATTCATCCTCACCAAGAATACTCAAATCTAAACAACCCTCATCATGCCACAAGCAAACGGTATTCAAGTGAACCTAATCTGCAATGGAACACCTTTAACCGAGTATCCCAAACCCTCCTCAACACCCAACATAGTCTTTTGCGAATCCACACCTGGTCAAACTTTTCAAGTTCAATTATTAGGCCCAAAGGCAACATCAGATTGTTTAATAAAACTATATTGCGATGGAGTTTACATCAAGAGTTGTTCATACCCAAGACGTGAATGTTTATCAAAAACGTTTCAAGGGATTTACGCCCCAAACGATCCAACCAAACTGATGCCATTTAAGTTTTCAAATATTGAACTTTCTGAAGAAGATCAAAATCATTCAGAACAAATTGTTAAAAACCTTGGAACCGTTTCTTTAGAATTCTTTCATTGTAAATTTGGTTTAATTAGTAAAACTAATAAAACCAAGAAGAATTCAATCAAATCGATCCCATCACTCGCATCTGCCAATAAATTTTCGGAAAGAAACAAAAAAGCAAGTATGATTCCACATACTATTAGCCTTGGTGATCCGATTACTGTCGACAGATCGGGATCTTCAACTTCTCGTCCTCGTAAACAGATAGATTCAACGCCTTATCTTCGATTCGTATGGCACTACAGGTCTCGCAGTAAGTTTGAATCACTCAACGTGTCTTTGTTATCCAACCTTTTTTTCACTACTCTTTAAACTGACGGTTGATATTCATTCACCAGACTTGTTAACTACTGCCGGCCTCATTCCCCAACCCGCCACCCCACTTCCTGACATCCAACGACCGAGACCCACTTCAGTCGCACATCGAAATGATGAAACAAGGGCAGTCCAGGGACAAAAGGCACGTGTAAAGGAGGCCAAAGAAACCAAACCCGACATCAAGCCAAAGGCCAGCGGCAGCAAGCTAAAGACAAGTGGAAGCCAGTCAGTGGTGATTGATCTTTGCGACGGCGACGATGAAACGACCTCATTCTTTTCTAGTACTCTCGACAATCCGATCACGCTTGATGATGATGATGCAGAAGTTGGGCTAGTGATTTCTTCATCCGAAAGAGTCCTTCAAGCTAGTGGGAGTTCAAGCCGACAAATCGATACTAAACCTGTCAAGATTGAGTCGGAAAAAGCTCTTAAAGGGCACCCTAAGGAAAAGAAAAGAGTCCAGGCTAAAGTAGAAGTGAAAGAAAGTGATCGGAAGCGTGTCAAGTTGGAAATGGTGGCTGCTTCTTTGAATGAGAAACGTTGAAGGATAGAAAATTTAGCTCAAGATTATATAATGAAGAATCACTTTGAAGCTTGTCAAATTTTCTATACTATCCATTCATCATTTGATTTTCTAAATTCTTAGTTTTTTTTATCCTCGTCTTTTACATCATCCTGATAAACCTTTTTATTTTGTTTATGCGCAATGCACGCTTCCGTCTCCTAAACCTCATGTTGTTGTTTTTAATTTGTATCTTTTCCTATAAAGTTTGATGGTCTTGGCTCTAAAAATATAGTTCTTGTTTACGTAATCTGGATTTGTAACTTTGCTTATTGTCTTTCAAGGTTGTATCATGTTTCCTTTTTTGATATATGTACGCGAATTGACATGTTGGTATTTAACGACTCTGCTCTATTCAATAGAGTTTGACATGTTTTTTCGATGTTTTGTTCGGGTTTTGACCGCTGAGAACTTTTTAGGAACTGGGAAATGGAATATGGGTCTCAGAGAAACTAAGTATCATCTTCCTGAGCAAACAATGGCAAAGAAGATTCATAAATGTTAAAGGTCACTAAAACATAAAGACAAGTAGATAGGTCCACAAGAGATGTAGAAATCACCCTGGTGGATTGAGTATGAAACAATTCAAAGAATAAGTATCAATGATGGATGATTATGGAATACTCAAGTCCATGATGACAAGTACACTTCATCCAACCCAATCAAACCAACCCTTCACCGACTTATTGACCTCATCCAAGCCAATACCACCAAACCATCAAGTGGCCGAGGAGTTTGATCTCCAAGATTCCAAGGTGCAGCAGGGCTACTTAGGGCTAGTCTGTATTACCACATGTATCAGCCATTTTACTTGCCAACCTGTAAGAGCATCCACAGCCAGGCTGTGACCCGACCCCGTGAGTCCGTGGCCGGCCCCGGGGCCAAAATCGGCACCGGGTAGACCCGTTGACCTATGGAAATTGCTCAGGGCCTACCAGGACCAGCCTCAAATTTGAGGCCACGAGGCCAGGCTCAGTGGTAGGGGCAAAAAAGCTCACGGTAGAGGGCAAAGGTCACGGTAGGGGTAATAAAAACTTGGAAAAGAGACAATTTTGGACTGCATTTCAATGTTTATCCAAAGACTTTATGAGAGCGCAACTACGTAGAAAGTGAAAACACGTATGAGTCACTTTACTTCAAATTCTCACGTAGAGAAACATAACGCTTCTATGTAAATGTCTACTTAGAAATGAAAAACTATTTAAAAACTTTCACCTTTCAATTTAAAACTCTCTCTTTGACTTTGTATAAGAGCTCTAAATACCTACTTGAAAACAAAAAGGTTTTTTTGGAAATCAGTTTGTCATGTATTTAAACTTATATAACAGCTCTCAACACTTACTTGTTGGAAATCCATTGATAAGCAACTACTTCTTTAATGCCTTATTCCAGCTCTTGAGGCAGACTTGAGCTTTGAGATTGTGAGGCGTGAACGAGGCTCGGTGATCACTCATCACTCTCAAAGCGGCAGAGAACGAGCTTTCAGAAGGAGCGGATGTGGCAGGTACAGCGAGCATTGCTTTGGCATGCAAACTAGGTTGGGCCAGTGACGTGCATTGATTGACCAGTAGACCAGAGGCTTGCAGATCTCGTCCTCTTGGGGAGCGGTGAGATATTCGTTGACCTCGTGTTTGATTGGGACTGCCTTGCGACGCTTGTTGTAATGTTGAGGTCGGTAAGGATGGACTGTTTCTTCTGGTTCAACTATCTCGATGGCGGGGTCAGCAACAGGTCTGAAATTGGCGGCGTGAGCAGTGAATTAATTGATTAAATTGTCTTGATCCCAACCGAGTGAAAGCAAGGTTTGTGCTGTGACAGCGGTGAGTTTGAGGCAAGGATCGAGTATCCCAGAGCATATGTAAACTGCCTTATTCTGGGCAGCCTCTTGGTATTGAACGATCTTCTTGATCATTGGCATAATGACCACCTTCAGTTATTGACATTTAGAATTGGCCCAGGCCTATAATGAGCAAAGCGTCAGTATATGAATTAGTGAGTAAAAAGAAGGAAAAGGATAAAAAACAACACTGACACTTTCAAAACGGCGTACAAGCCATTGATAGTCAGGCATAACCAATGAGAAAGTCGGGTATAAATGTCCTTCAATCCTTTTGGTCACCTCAGCAAGAGGCGCAAGGAACTGTACCAGGTTTTCAACTAGTATCCACTCGTCATGGTCAAGTTTGAAGCAATCTGAAGCTGGGTTACTGTTGATTTGATACTCTACCACAACTCGGAGCTCTACAAATCGTGAGAGTGAGGAGTGCGTTGAACACCACCGGGTCATCACCTCATGAACCAAACCAACCTTGCGTTCCAACGTAGCACAGCTTGCAATGGCGTTAATGAGGGCGGTTTTGAGCTGACTAGAATGCTTGATCTTCTTGTGGAGGCCCCGGATACGAGTGAGAACACTTCCTATCTCAGAATGTGAGACAGGCTCGATAAACAAGGGAACAGAGGAATTGGATTGGGGAATGAGGGGATCAAGGGCATTGAGAGGTGGAGGAGCGTCCTTTTGATCAAATACTACTAACCCAGCCTTCGCAACCAAATTGATCACATGAGCAACACAACCGTGAAGATTTTGAGAAGCATTGAATTGGGGAATCATAGTTGAAAGGGATTGTCCCATAGTGGTGTTATTGAAGGCGTTGTCGGCGGTGATGCAATATAAACGTTCGGAGAGGTGAAAGGAGTCCAGAGTATGTTTGAGCAGGGTAGCAAGGTTCACACCGGTATGGGGACCATCAATAGGCCTGAGGGCAAGGGTGATTCCATGTAAATTGAAGTAATCGGAGATCCAGTGTGCTGTTACACCAAGCATTGCGACATTTGTAGGTGATGTCCATCCGTCACAGGTGATACTGACATGGGTAACATCAAAGAGGAGGTTGACAATTGCAGCTTGAGTTGATTCATAGGTATCCAAGATCCCGTCGGTAACAGCAGTGCGTTTCAATAAGAGGGTGTAAGCCGCTGGATTGATCATGTTGACTAGCTCTCAGAACTCCTTGGCATCAACAAAGGACACCGGGATTTTGCGAATGACAACCATGCGGACAAGGCAGTCCTTGAGATTAGCTCTGTTGAGCGGTTTGACCTACATATAAGGAAACAAAAGAAAATGATGAGTTAAGAATAAGATAAAAAAAGATTTCAGAAATAAAGTAACTGACCTAAAAGATTAGATAACAAAAATAGAAAGAGAACAAGTCTTGTGATAACGAAAAAAGAAAATAAACACATATTGATGAGTAAAGAAGAGATAGTAACAACTAACAAATGGAAACTGACCTTAACAGGTTCTCCGTCAATATAGAATGCCGCTACCGTGGGTTGGTTGGTTTGAATGGGGGGGTCAATATGATGAGCGCGGAAGAGGTGTCGAATCATAGATTTGGTACTACCACACTTATCAATAGTTAGAGGTATGTTGTAGATTGCAGCTGGCGTGTCAGGATCGTCGGCAGGTTGAGCAACGTCAATGAAACCTCGCCACGCTTGGCAAACATTCTTCTTAACACCGTTGACTTCCTCTTGAACAAAGTACTGCCACACCCACCATGAGCGTGCGGTGGTAGTGGTTTCAGAAGCAACTTCAGATATGGAGCTAATGGAGTCCAATGGGGTAATACTAGAAGCGGAGGATTGCATTGTGCAAAAGGAAGATGATCGGGTGATAATGGGGGATTGACTTGGCATATGGATATTGGAAGATGATTGAAGGGATGTGTGAGCCTTGAGGGTATGCAATGATTGTCAGCTGAAGATCCTGATCTGTCAACTTTGATGATTGTGAGAACTTTTTTGGATCGAAAAGGGTCGGCGGCCCCTCTGGCCCCGTTAGCCGGCACGCCCGCAGGGCTTTTGTAAGCCTCATCATGTTAGGTTTGAATGCCCCAGGGCCAGTGCTGTCAGCCTTCCAGATAGCCTCGGGCAGTTAGGGTCAGGCAGGGCCAGGTCCGGGTCACAGCCTGGAGCGGCGCGCCCAATGGTTTGTCCGCGGGTTTTTGTCAGTTCAGCCGCCCATCTCCATCAGAAATGTCTGAGGAGGACTCTGAGGAGTGTCCTTCATCATACTGAGATATTGGTTCAACAGTCTACCTCACTTGGAGCTGTTGTCACTTGACAGACAGAGTCGTGTCCAAAGAATGTAAGCGACTCTCTGTAAGAGTTTCATGCGTATAGAGTTGCAGTTGACTTTCTTTGAACGTGTTATCTCTTGCACTCTACCTTGCAATCAATAACTAGGATTCTTTTATTGGCAACTATGTATGTATCTGCTGGCCCTGTGTATCTGGCCTCTGTTGATGTAGAAGAATTTTTACTTTTTTCCACTTTTTTGAGGGCAAAGGGCGCGCCCCATTGGCGCCCGCGCCAATCCAATGCAGCTTTTTTGCGCCCGGTTCCGCCCGTTTCAAAAAGGACGTGCCCACAACATGATATGTCACCTTTATGCTGGTAAAGTGGCAAAACTTTGGCAATTCTTATAAGAGCATCCCCACCGGGCCTGAACCTTGACCCATCATACAGGGCAGCATTTATGACATATCACATGTTGTATTTTCCCTTCAGGAAGGGCAACAAGCACCGGCCAGCCTGAACAAGTCTGAAATGCTTGCTCCAAGCTCTTACGGCCGCCATCTTATGCCACAGGGATCATCTCGTGTAATACATACAATATGTTGATTTCATATTTTAAGAGAAAAGGACGAAAAACATGATTGATTGGGCTGAAATGGGTTGCCCGGTTGCTCAAATTGTGTGGCTCATGCGTTCCAGACGACCCCAAAGAACCTGAGGGTCCAGCTCAAGATACCTGGATCGCATGACTAAGAGTGTCGCACAGCTGGCCTACGGTGGGAGTTTTTCTTGCCGGTGGGGCGTGATTTCTGGATTACGACCTGGACATGTCGAATACATCTTACGTCCGTTGACAGTCCAGGGTCACCGGTGGTGAATCGGGAGCACCGGAGGATCCGGGGATTTCGTCTGAGAGTCTGAGAGTGAGACTTTTCTGAGAATGTGAGAATACACCTCCCTCAGTACACACATCGCCATAAGCATATTACATTATAAGCTGACCCAAAGGTTTTCAACGTTTTTTTATGTCAGAAACCATAAGAAATTGTACACCGTTGATGTCACATTTTTTTTCCGCCTCCGTGTTTCAAACAAAAATTTCCCAGTAATCACCTCTTTTTTGGGACGCACACCTCACCAGCATGTCTTCGCCCATGAAAGTACCCAAAGCACTCCACTCCACGACCCAACCCGAGATCTTTGAAGACCATGGTGTGCCCAACGCTTACCCACGAATTCTATTCCATGATTGGCACCAAGCTACCTCTTCCGCGAAAGGATGGTCCCACAGGGCTACTTTGTCCAGTGTGTGCGACCCAGATGAAGTACCAGAGGGCCAATGCCGACTCTTGGCTCATAGGCGTAAGACGTGATCCAATCCATGCCTACAGATGCAAACTGACTCTTAATCTTACCACCAAAACATAGTGCCTGACTGCCCAAAACGAACACAATTGGAAGACTTGGAAGTGCAACCAACTAAACCACAAGATAGCCCTCATCAACTTTGGGGTACCCAGACCAATTGTATCTACCTACCTGGACTGGGGCCCACGGATCTCACCTCAAGGTCAAATCCTCGAAGACGCGCCTTTGCATGGAGCCGAAGGAGCTCGTGGTCATCCTTACGCTAGGCCAGCACCAGGACGCGCCAAAAAACGAACGTTGCCAGCCCTGCAGTGTAAACGCATACACAAGGGTTCACTTTCTCAAAACCACAAGAAGGCAGCCAACCAAGGCTGTGCGTCTCAGTACTGCGTTGGAGTATGTACTTTATCAAGTCAGTCTTCCAATTTTTCTCTCTCTTTATGCAAGCTGACTTTTGCCCGGGAATTCATGGCAGTGCTGCAACGCTTACTCCTTGGTGGAATGCCGCGTTCATCCTCGTCTGCCGGTAGTTCCTTGTGTTCCATCGACCAATGCTCATGGCCTGACTGATCAGCAACTCACCGCATTAGGTATAACACCTCAGCAACTTGCTGCAGTAGGCGTCATCCAAGCAGGCACCTCGGGCCCTTCAAACGGAACGATACCTTCCTCCCGTTGACCTGTTCCGGCGTCCCAGGAAAAATCCGCATAAGTGGGCTCAAGCTGCGGACACCCTGGGGCGCCGAGTGCCCTTTGAAACCATGGCTATGATTCAGAGGAACCGTGCTCAGCGCGATGAAGCAGCCGAACGTCGGACTTCAAGCCAGGTTGACATTACCAAGGTAGCCACAATCCATTTATGGGTAAACGTGAGTTAGCTATACAACGGTGAGGACTTTCGCAACTTACTAACCAATGTCCAGGGACGTATTGGTCTCTACTGCGGCCTTTCCAGTCGGTCAAATCACAGCGTTTAGACGCATTCTTTCCACAGTGGCCTCTATATTATCTGGACCAAAGCGAGCTCCTGCTGGAGGCCGTTCATAAAGCGGTAGGCCCTTTGTGGAACCGAGCATTGAGCATATGGGATCCCAAACTCAAGGCCTGGGTAAAGTCATCTCTACTTCACTCTGGCACCTTTTATTGTTTCCTATACACTTTTTGATTTGTTACTCATTTCACCCTTCCACATCAACTTGTTAGTGCGACACACTTGTCAACTACCCACGTCGAAACCCAACAGACCAACGCACCATCATTGTGCGTCTCCAGTCTGCGGTGGTTCCCCAATCGGCCCTTCCGAGTAGGTCAACATCTGGTCCCTTGCCACCGGCCTCCGCGTTTCTCTCAAAAACATCACTTCCTCCTATATGCGATACACCTTCCTCCCCGGGGTCACCTGGCCATTCTCAACGTCAAGTCAGTAGTAGTGATCAGTTAGATGCAGCGGACCCACCGAAACCACTTTGTTCTAGCCAGCAAGGACCTCCTCTCACACACGGGGCCATCATCGATTTGACCACCGACCTTCCCGAATTGGTCACAGCTCAGCCTTTGGAAGACCCTGTCCCATCCAACCCTGATATCACGGTGGCAGGGTCTCCAGATGCTGCACCTCAAGAACCTGCCAATCAGCTTGGAAATGTAACCGACAATTCAGGTAGCCCTGATAAACAAGAACCTTCTAAAGTGTACGCGAACATTCATGAGGCCATTCTCCCATTGTCTACCCGAGCTACACTGACAGCATCTTGTACGACTCTCCCCAGGTTGCCCAATCTGGTTTTGGCTCAAGTACTTCAAAAGGGCTGGCCATCATCATCGGTGCCCATTGCAAAGATACTCGCATGGTATAAGGATCAACAGGGTGGCAACGCGCCACAGCGATGGAAGGAGCATTTTGGTGGTGAGTGGAAATATGTGGAGGGCACTATGTATTGATATCGCGGATGGATTGGCTTGGTCACATACGAGGTTATGAACGAGAGGTTTAAGTCTGAACCAAACGCAACAGTTGGCGATGCTCGTATAGTTTACAAGAAGGAATTTGACGCCAAGGCTGGCGTAAAAAAAATGGAGCAAACACAGCGAAAGTGTGGGGGCGGTGGTTATATAAAATTTAATTATATTTAATGTTTTCGTAATTCAGTATACCTCAGTGTTGACCCTTTTTTTATGTAGTACAGAGTACAGTACATGCTTTATTGACAAATTGGTAATCAGACTAATCAGTGCAATTATGTGAATCTTTTGATAAACATTCCTTTGATCACTCCATGAGCTTCCGAAACCTCAATCAGCCCACCCTTGGGTTGAGCAAGCAACACTCTCACAAAGGCTGCAGCGTCGCAGGGTCCCTTGCTCGCGACCCTGACTGAACACCAATGGCATCTTGAAGTAGTTACGCAGGGTGAATCTTGACGCACCCTGTTGGCGTTTCGATTTCAGGGTCTTCAGGGTTGTATCTTAGATGTCCATCAGGACCCTTACCCAGTTTTCCAGTCGTACGTTTCACCGATGAGTCTCTTGACCTCATTTAACTTGTTGAGAAAGGTCAGGATTCTCCGCCCCAACCTCACTCACAATCAATTTTAACTGACATGGGTTATCCAGCGATTATGACCGCGACTGTACCTACCACCGCCGAAGTCAGTTATTCACTCATTCAGGTCCTGCTCCGTAATATTTGGCTTATTATTTTTCATTTTAGGCTGTTTGTTTTTGGGGGAATGATTTCATGCCGTGGTACTCCAACTCAACCGAAATCGTTTTGGAAGATGTTATACCGGAACCCATCAAAGTATATGGACATGTCATACCCCCAGACCGCCTCCGCGCAAACAGGACATATCAAATCTCCGGACCCTTCGGCCAGGATTCTAACACTGGGGAAGGCATGATAACCTTTGGATCTGACACCCAAACCTTCCTCGGGTTTGACCATCCTGAACGTGAAGCCGTTGCTGGCAGGGCAATGATTAATGGAATAGGCCAAGTTCTTGATGTCCATTTTGACGATGTAGTGAATCAAGGAGGTTTATGGAATCTGACTGTCAACCTTCAACACGAGTACTACGACCCTGTAGTCAGTCCACTTGCATCCTTTGTGATTTGATGAATGACTTACATGGCTCACTTTATAATTCATTTACACTCAACGGCATTCGCAGCAACAAAAGGTCATTGAATTTCCGATCACATATTCTTTTGGCTATATGACTCCGGCCAGTTTTGAGTGGAAGCACATATACTCGGGTTCTACCATGTGGGTCCATGGCTCGGTGGTCGCCAAAGATGCCGACTCTCATCGCCTCATTGTCCAAGTAAGTGCCTTTCTCATGTCACCTCCTCGTCAGGCAATGTCCGTGCTCAATTGACTGACAAATACGATTGTCTCTTTTACTTAGGTGCTTGACTATTCTTGTTTAGGCAAGGTTCCCGAGATATTCTGACAGGTCATTTAATCATTCTTTGCGAATCACAATGTGATCTATCCTGTTTCTCTTTGATCGGTGGAGTTACATGTCGCTTTGAGATCACTTGTAGTCACAACTAAAGTTGTTAATTAATGTTAATCATCCAGATTCACCTTCCTTGCAATTGCAATCGTCAATATACCTGACCAACCTTATCCCACTACTTACCTTTCAGATACTTCTAGGTTTAAATGATATGATGATATAACCACAGTGCGCGACAGATAAAAAATGCGTGAGCAGACTGAATCCAGTCTGTTCGCCAAATGAGTGAGGCAAAACTAACAACAGTAACTAGTATCTTATAGACTTTTGAAAAAGGTCATGCGTTTTCATTTGATTTCATACACAAATAATACTTCAGGAAGTATCATACATATGGTGACCTTCTTAAAAGGCTGTATCAGATTCAGCAATATCAGATGACACATCATTATCAGACAATTCTTACAACACCCCTTCCCCCAGAAACAGCATTCCGGGTCTTTGGTCCAATTTTTTAGTCAACCAAACATTCCTCGTGTAAACCATCTCTTCTAAAAAAAATTATAAAGCAAAGAGTGCATATTGCGGCAAATCAACGCAAACCCACCATACCAGATATTGGTCAGTTCTTCCGCAGAAGCGTCGAAACACCAACGCCCCCCCTCTTGAATGTCGGGGAAGAGATGAGGATCCGTAAACTTTTTGCAAAATTGGTCGGTTTGTGCGTGCGATCAATGATGGAAGGGATCCACTGGTATGACCGTTCCAAGGAAGCGCGAACAGTCAGTATCCCCGGTGTATATATGCTCAGTCAACCTGCAAGCATTGTCATAGAAGACCACCTCGGGGACCCCTTGAGGGAAGCTCTCCTCAAGAAATTCCTAAGGGGCGTGAGAATCAGAACATAAATTTATGCCAGGTGTAAACGAAAGTGAAGGTTTTACTCACTTTGACCGCACTCACAGATTCCGCGTTGTAAAAAGTTTTTCTGGCTAATACAATTCCACATGCCGCCACCACCAGTTGATCATTGTGCGTCCGTGATCTTGATAACACGTACTTGCCAGTTGCCTGCGACTCGCCTCCATCGCGGGCGCTTTCGTGTGCCCTTTGGGACTTGTCAGCCTGTTGGATGCTCTCCAGGTTTGCAAATTCAGCGGTTTGGGGATCGAGGTGAACGGTGGGATCCGGAGGCAGATTTGAACCCGGGCGGTTGAGAAGAGCAGTGAGTGAAAAGTTTGCAGCGGTTTTTTTTTGAAGTTTTTCCATGCCTCGATGTGTTTTTCGTCTTCACAGGTTTCTGTATCTCCAATGGCAGCCTTGCCACATGGCTGAGCTCTGCATCGACCACCGAGCAAGACGAAATGATCCGGACAGAAGCGGTCATTAATGTTCGCTAGCTTCTGCGTACATGGTCCTTCAGGGGCTGAAAGGCCGAACGTGGTTGCTATCTCTTGTAACTGCTGGGTGGAGGCGCTACAACGCCAATGCCCAATGGTCAGGCCGTCGGTTACTACAGCACGGATAGCTGACCATTTTAATTCCAAGAGCAGTCAATGTGTATCGTCGTTAGTTTCAGGACAAATATGAGTACTACTATAGGCAGACACTGACATCTATAATAATGTTCGCCAGTTTCTGGATCAACGCTGGACGTGAGTCGGACACAACTCGAGCAATAGTGATCACAGAACCGTGTTCCCTCGACCGACAAGAGTTCCAAGTGGGCTTCAATGGTGGCGTCAAACTGTATACTGTTGGTTCCACTCGAGTTGACGGCGAGCTGAGTTCCTCTCCGATCCGCATGAGTCATCAAAGAATGAAGAATGAGACCATCGCGGCACACGTCCTCGGACATGGACGCAGTAAAGCTTTGGTCGGGGGCAAATGTCTGGACGGGGGTGTCATCTACGAAGATCTGACCAAACCAATTCACAAGATTGAAATGTGAAACGCTGACGATCAAATATCAGTCAGTCCAAGCTCTTTAAGGCTCGTTTGTTATTGTAGGGTTTTTCTAAAGTTAACTCACTGCGCCAGCATCTGGAGTGCCCGAAACATGTGAGACAAACACCGAGTCATATAATAATGACAGTGGATGTGTAGGTAATCTGTATTGCGCCCCATTTCCTGCGAGTAGTAGATTCGTAGGTCGTCTCGAGTGTAATAACTGGGTCTGTAGAAAGTGCCACATGCTTTGTCTGGTGTCATGTACGTAAATATAAGGCGATGACTGTGGATGGAGAATAAAACCAGGGTAGGGCTTTGCTTACTTGAACAGCATAGTATCACTGTCTGAATTGAATGGACCCCATCGATATCGTATAGGTAGCCGTCAAGACGCGAGTGGATGTGTAAGGCGAATGATTGGTCACGCGAGCATAGGTGGCAGTGGGACATTGGTGCACGTAAGAATCTTTCGGGCATTTTGGTACCCAATAGCTCTGGGTGTAGACCAAACTTGCGGATTGCAGCCGAGGTGTCGATTGTGGAGGCAGCCAAATGAGGGAACAAGAGGCGCCATAAGGCAGGCATCAGGTCATGTGAGTAAAGGGGTGATAGAGCCATTTCGAGGAAGGGTAGAAGAGCGTTTCGATTGGGTGTGAGTCGTAGGCTTTGACCGGCACAATGTTGAACCTCGCCGGCAAGCGTAACAAAACGGACGAAGTCTGGCACAGTCAGAGTGGCGGATAGCAAAGGTGATTCCCTGCGGAGTTGTTCGACAAAGTCGCGCAATAGCATGATGACGTTGAGTGATCGACTTGGAGTGATGGCGACAGGTGTATGGTCACTGGTGACTATGGGTGGCGACGAGGTGGAGTGCAAGGGCGTATCACATGGATGACACCTCAATCCCACAAATGGGCCGGCAGTTAGGCAACCTTGGACTATATGGTCAAAAGGTTTTGAAGGTTTCGGCTATTGGATGTTAAGTTGAAAACATGATGGTATGGGAATGGGTTTACGTATGGGTTTAACATGGTGTAAACCCATGAGGCATGTGTTAACAGAGGATTCTCAGGAATTCTCAGGACTCTCAGAGATGTATCAGGCCATCCCCAGATCCTCCGGGCTACCCGGTGAACCGTGATGCTCTAAGCCTGAGAAATTAGAATGCATCTGAATGCATGCTCGTCGCAAATGCATGCCCACCAATGCTATCGAGCATGCTGTGGCAATTGACGCAGATCGGATCGGGTCCTCTGTCACGGTACCGTGAAAGCATCGAGATCAGCAACGTGGAGATCGGGCTTGCTGAGCTCTCTGGTTCGCTCGTGTCCTTTTTATCCTCAATTTTGAGCCAAGCCGACAAGCAAAACGTGAACCAAATGAACCTACAAGATTCACATACGAACGACTATAAGACATGCATGAGGATCATCGGAGCTTGAACGACCTCATGGAGGATGTGATCTGATGAAACAGCCTCGTGTTGTGGCATTTCACACTTTCCCTCCTGGCAAGTCAACTCGAACGTATCAAAAGTAGACGCGCTTCACCTCAGTACGATGGCTATGATTGATCATTCCTCAACCTCATGATGCGATGTTCCTGACGAGGGTTTAAATTGGTGGATACGCGGTCGTGGGCCTTGTTCGCGACTTCAGAACGTATTTGCCTGCCATTAGGAAATCGTGATGTTTGGAGAACATCATCATCGGGATCCGATCTGTTCGATTCCAAATCATTACATCCTGGAATCCCGATTGTTCTTCATGACATCTATGTTGCCCAATCAAATTTACCGCACCATCAACTCCTGAAATCAATTGTGATATTATTCGAGGCTTTGTATCTCCCACCATCATTATGGATGGTCCAACTATCATGTAATGGGAACTTACAAGGATCTGTATTTTTTATCAATTACAAGCCACTGATTTGCATCAAATTAAAACCCTTGTCAATTCTTTGAGACTAAAATGTCTGCGTTGAATCACGAGGAAGCTACTGTCCTGTTCATAGAGATCGGGCAAAGACTAAAAGCAAAAGCTTTGGAGTTGAATATGTAGCCATACTATTACAAGGATCCGTTTTGTTTATCAATCAGAAGCCACTTGTTCGCATCAAATCGTAAGCCTTGTCAACTCTTTGAGACTAAGATGTCTGCTTTGGATTGCGAAGAGGTTACTACTCTGTTCATGGAGATCGAGCGAAGACCAAAAGCATTATGACTTGAATGGACGTATTGATAATAGAGACTGAGTGAATGCCCACTATTGCGATGAAGCCATCTCACCTGCACAGCTATTAGGAGAAATGTGAAATCAGAAGTTGACAAGAAAAGTAAGTCTTTCTTTCTCTCTGAGAGCTGTAGCTTGCACTCGCGTTCACCAGTGTCAACACAATTGATCTGGAACGACCTGGACTCATGTTGATCTTCATTATAAGCTTCAGGGTGCCGTAGTAATTAAAAAATCGCACTTTTGCAAAATGTCATCTCTCTATGTTGTGCTTGTCATATATTTGAGAACTTATCTGGTATTTGAGTTTTCTTGTGTGTCTCAATCGCGTGTAGCCCGCAAGCGATTTCGCTGAGCCTGTCAATCTATAGACACGAGGACTTAACTGAACTTGTTTGATTTATTTAAGATAATAAATTACAGAGCTTCCAAGCACAATCAAACCGCTTGGAAAGACGTCATAAGCAGACATACCATCCTTTTCCATGGTGAGTAGATCCAGAGACCAAAAGTAGAGGTTTTTGCGTCTCATCGTCGTCACGAGTTGAAAGGACATAGTGACAATAAACACCAATTAAGGGGTCAATGTCACAAAGGAAATCATCTCATCTGTACGGTAATCCTGGAGGATAGGTGATCTGAAGCAGACAAGACTTGTAGCACAAGACAGTGTCTCTTGGAAATATGAGGGACTTTGTCCCATATTCACTGTTATCCGAACAGTCATTCGGTTTATTGGTGGTATGTGCTGTGAAACAACTTGAATACATGGTTATTGTCATGAAATACTTCACGCTGTTGTATTACTATCAATTGAAAAATTGCATCTGTAAATAACATTACCACTCTATGCCATACTTTTGTACTTTCAGATACCTAAAAGGTCGTTTTGCAGGAGCGTTTGTACCAATGAGAGAATAAAAGCAAATGGACGTCGAGAATTTGATATTTCATTTGGAATGATATACGCATCTAAAGATAAATTGAAAGGCATTCCTTCACCACCAGGACATTTGGCGTAGAAATCTTGCTTGTCCATAATTGAACAAGCAAGGATAGAAAGATTTGCAATTTGAGCCGATTGTATGACAATAAAAGCAATGATACATATAGAGAAGATAGCTTGAATCTAAAAAAACCACCTCGGAAAACTTCTTCTCTTAAATTGATCAGGTCGAAGAAGGATGAATATATGATGACTCGTTATTGAAATGACACATGAGAAAATTCAGTCAAAAATTTAAGGATATTATCAATTCAAGGACAAGGGGGAGGTAGAAAGACACACATTGGTTGTTACATATTCATCCAATTGTTCGGTGACTTTGATCAACTCGGATGGTTCTGGATATTCTCGCAGGCGTGGTTGAAATTGAGTTTGAAGGAAGAATGGATTTTGCGCGTCTATAGAATCTGGAAATCTTGAGAGGCTTGTTTTGGGAGCAGCAAGCAGAAATCCAGGATAAGAATTTTATGAAACCAGAGTAGAGAGGAAATAGAAAAGTGAAGGACACAGCTGAGAAGATAAGATCGGAAACAGGAACCTTCAACAAAGGAGCATCTGAAAGAAACTCGAAGTGGCCGAACTTGAACAAAACAAAGTGAAGAGATCAAACCGTTGTAAAATACAATGGAATTCCTATCATTCATCAATACAAATTGATCTTTTAAATTGAGCAGAAGTCTTATCGGATATCAGAGAAGGTGATCAAGCTGAAAAGTGTCAAGGATTGAGATGGATTGAAGAATTGTTCATCATAAGTTAAGGATGAAGAGAGTGAATTTGTATAAATCTAAACAAGTCAAATACTCTGGGCAACACTCGCGATGATAATCAGTTCAGTCGGCAAAATAAGGCCTTGAGATACATACAGTGAACAAACAAATATGAAACAATTGGACTTTGTTGAGCAAGTCCCGTGATCACAAAAAAACAGAAGTGACCGCGGCAAGTCTTCCCCAAATACAGGATTTTTAGCTGATCAGAATATCCTTCAAAGCTGATCGCCCAATCATAAAATTTGTTGACTTCATTTCTTTGGATACAGAACCAAGCTTTCTCACTACCACCACTTCCAAACCACATTCCATCCAATTTATTCATATCATCTCAACCATACATTAACAGTAGCTTGAATAACACGATCACCTTCTTGTTTTCACCTCAACCAACCCTTACTAGTGATTTCAAATCACCGTATTTCTCTCGGCTTTTACTCCTCTCTGAATCACTAGTCTCTTGTACGATGGAATATCTCCCGTCTCCGCTTTCTGGTGACGCGTATAGTCCTCGTTATCATAAGACTTTCAACACCTCCATTCCCGAGGTTATCAGGCAACAAATTCGGACCAAGTGCTCAAAACGTTCATCTGCCAGGTCATACCCAGAGTATGTCTTATATTTCTTTGATCTTGATCCACTTCATTCATGGCTGACTTTATGGTTTATCCTGTTCTCATCACATAGTCGCAAGTTTCGATCCTTGGGCAAACTCCTTCTCGCAAGACATCCTCATCTGAAGTACAAACTCTTGAAACATGGGAATTGCGCTGGTCTTGGACCTTCCTCGACTACCGTAACTCTCGCTCCTAGGGTCGCAGGATATCACCCTGTTACTATGTTCTCTCCTCAAACCCGACTCGTCATCGAACGCGCGAAATATGTTGCACCCGGCTTGAGTTCTCTACTGATCCCACTAGAAGATCTTTCTCCAGAAAAAACAACTCAAATTGAAGAACTCAATCCTCGTATCAAAAGGAAAATCGGAAAGGAATTTCAAGAGATTCTCGGGATCGAAATGACACCATTGTCAAACAAGACTATATTTCGATTATTAATTCAATTCTTCAGATTTTGGGTTCAAGATCATCGCTGTAGTACTCAATCGAGGTATGTAATCTTTTATTTTCAATTCATGGAGTGTTGCTTTGTATAGTTCTGACTCTTTATTTTTCAATTTGTCAATGTTCTAGGGACTTCATCCGAGAATATCTGCATGATTCAGATGTCCTCTCATTAATGGAGGAATTCGATCTTTAGATCATATCGTCATTCACTCAATCACATCTCAATTGGACCCCCTCAATTGACTGCTTCTATTCTTGTTTGTTTTGTCAAAATTTCGGGTATTACTTCATCATGTCTCATTATATATCTATATCATCTACTTCACATACTCTCCCTTTCTTTATTATTACAGGATCCTTCCATCCTTGCTTCTCCACTTATGGAAGAGCAAGATGTCTACTCCATATCTCCTGGTGGTGAAGGAATGCACCAGGATTATAGATGTTTACTCAATCTATCTCCAGATAATGATATCAACTGCTTTATATACACTCCTTGTATTCAAAATCATACCTTTATGTAAAACAGCTTCCATCTTCTTTCAACTGCCCTTCACTTATAAATACCTGTATTGGAATTTTATTATCCATTTTGGGTCATCTTTATCAAAGATTTGTTACGGTATCATAAGTGTCTCTCATTAGTTTGGATATAAATGTTCATACTTGAGTCTCGACAACCTTGTATGTTAAATGGTTTTCCGAGTTAAG